CTGAAATCCGGTTTTTTTTTTTTTTTAATAAATATGATCTGTTGCAATTAGGTAAAGATACATGTTATAGTTTTTGCCTAATTCAAAATTCTCGTTTTTATGGTAAACATATTTTTTTAATAAAAAATGAGAAATTTTTTACTTTTACAAAATTGTCATGCTGAATTTGACCTAAATTAACTCGATTTCTATGCAATCCGATTTTTTTAATAAACAATTGATATGTTGCATTAGGAAAAGGTATACTCTCTCCTATTTTTATTACTAGTTTGGTTATGAGCTTGTGGAATTAATATTTGGTTGTGGAATTGATCTCGATTAACAGGTGTGTTTTTGTAATTTTTTTTCTGCATAGTGCTGTTTCTGCACAGTAAAACGTATTATGAAAATACATTTTTTTTATCAGAAAACGTATTTCAAGAATACGTTTTACTGTGCAAAATTAGGGCAAAATCGATTTAGGGCTAAAATTAGGGCAAAATCAATTTGGAGCAAAATTAGAGTAAAAAACGTATTTTGAAAATATGTTTTATTTTTGAAATATTATTTTCTGAAAAAATTTGTTTTAAAAAATTGTAAATATTAATTTTATTTATAAAACGTATTCCAAGAATACGTTGTATAATTAAAACATAAATGTAAAATTAATTTTAGTTATAAATCGTATTTCAATAATACGTCTTTTTTTTCAACTTAAAACGTATTTCGATAATACGTTTTTCCCTATTTTAATTAATTTAATTACGTTAATTAATTTTTTTTAGAAAATCCGTAAATACGTTTTACAAGTAAAAACATATTCTCTAAATACGTTTATTATTGAAAAACGTATTCTCAAAATACGTGTTTTTTATTTTTGTCGACTTTTTTTTTCACTTAATTTTTTTTATTTTTAAATAAATAAATAAATCCCCAACATAAAGCCAGAGGCGACCGAATATCGATGGAGGCAGAAAAGAGTTTAGAGAGGGAGAGTTGGGGAAACAGTATCGATTTCCAAGCGTAATTAGGGTTTTAAGAAGATAGGTTGGTATAGGGTATAAAGTGCGAATTCAAGACACAGAGACCGGAGAAAAAGAATTGAGAGTATATAATGAAGACAAAGAATTTTCGGAAAAGAAATTTAGAGCTCGAAGACGGAGACGACGATGACGGGAACCACGAAGAAAGGTGCCAAAATTTCCTCCATTTGTTTCTTATTTGTCTATTTGCTTCTTAAACACAGTCGCTGACAATGTTTTTTTTGGGAACAAACAAATAAATATATCAGAGTGTCTTTAACCTTAGAGGAGGTGAAATTCCTTCAGAGGCAGAGAGGAAGGAAGTCGGGTATTCCTGCTCTATCAACTCCGGTATCGACTGCCGCAGCTGGGGCTGGCGCCAGCAGTGCTTCGATTCGCAGTGTTAGTGATAAGGGTGAAGGTGATGTGGAGAAGGACGATTTGGTTTTGCAGGACACTTTTGCTCAAGAGACGGCTGTCATGGTCGAGGATCCAAATATGTAACTATTTTATTCCTTCAATAGCTTTATGCTTTTCATGAAGTGTTAGCAATTGGGTGGAGTGAGACCTTCATCGTACACCTGGGTTGATTGAAATAATTGGTTATTTGCTGAATATTGAACTAGATTTCAGTTATGTCAAGAACAAAAATGGTAAAATGAACCCATTACTTGATGGAAGTAGTAGCAAGGAAATAGGAAATGTCTAGTGAAAAAAACAGATATTTGTTGAACTACAGTTGCAAGTAGTGTGTTCACTTTTAAGTACATGCATTTTTTGCCTCTTTTCTATTGGGCAGGTTGAGATATGTAGAACAAGAATTGGCAAAGAAAAGAGGAAAGAATATTGATACAGAAAACCAAGTTGAAAATGGTGTTAAGCTTGCGGAGGACGAGTTATATAAAATTCCAGAGCATCTGAGAGTGGGTGATATTAGATATACATATGTTTGCTTACGATTGTTTGTGTTTTAATTTTTTCCTTTTCACTTCTTTTTTCCCTCTATATGTTTTGCACCTCCAGGCTCCAGTACATGTGCACCACTCTTGGAACTGTAGCAGAAGAGGGTTGTAAGATTGTGTCAACATTCTCATTTTTATTTCGTAGTCACATGCATCAATTGATATGGCCTTCTCCGGTGACGTTATTAAGTAGCAGTTTATCGAACTTTTGGCCTGCATCATTTTTGTTGGTGTAAATTGTTGGTTTATTAGCCTGAAAATTGTGCTAGAAATAAGTCAAGTGGATTTTTAAAGTAGTTGGGCGGTGGCTGAATGAGCAGATATTGCGGATAGCTGGTGAGGGTTGATATGGTAGTGAGGTTGGGTTGGTCGTGAATCTTGATGATCAGATGATGTCTGATTGTTGAGTGGAAATAGTAGACTGGCAACATTTATGAAGGATAGGAAACCTTTGCTTCTTGACACTGTGTCAAAACAAGTGTATGTTGGTAATGAAGGCAGAAGTAAAACCGTGACTGATGCACTTACTTAGAAATAATGTGAGCTTGTTGCTCTCCGTGGTGAAGAGTATCCATTGCATTTAGGCGCTTGCTCAAAACTCTGTTACTGGAGAAACAGGTTCCTATAGCCAACCCTAAGTAATTTGGGATTAGGGCGTTTTTGTTGAACTTTGCTGAAGGGTGGTTAGTTTCTGATTTTTCCACTTCTGATATCATGGCTACTATTAAGTCATACAAAAAATAGTTCGGCATCTGTTTTGCAATCCACCGGCCATTGGAAGTTGGCCCCACTAATTGCATTGAAAAATACTATCCTTGTTGAGAGATTTTTTTTACAATTTTCCTCCTATTTTTACTAGGTGAAAAGACGAAGCTCGGGAGAAAACTCTACTCAGTGGACTACAGGGATTGCAGAAATCCAGCTTCCGATAGAGTAAGTTCATTTGTTTTCCGATTACTCAACTTATTTTAATTGTAGTTTGCTAACATCTGTGAGAACATGCTTATTAGGAATTAGGACATATCAATTATAAGAGCCAAATGGGTGTTTATGTACAGGGTGCTTGTTAGAAAGAAAGAGATTAAATTACAATAACAAGAAAGTTTCATATCCTATCAGCTGAATCTGCTTTGGTAATAATCTCGATTGACATACAAGTGGAAGCATGCTTATCATATACTCCAATCCTCCAAATGATTCGGCATACAAACCAGCTGGTTTTTACACTTGACATTGGGATGAGCTAGACTATTACCTAATTAGATATATTTATAATTATGGATGGATAAATAAAAGTCGATGAAACTGATTGCAAATATGCAGATACTACCCTGATAGTGTACATTCTCTTCTGTAGGAAACATGGTTTCTGGAGATAGATAAGCCTAAAAGACGAGGTCTTTCTTTACTTTGCTTAAAATCTTCTATTTTTACATTTTATAAATAGTCTAAGATGAGAAAGAGAAAAGAAATCTTAGAAAAAAGATATAATGAAATATTCAATCTACAGGCTTGGGTTATTTGCTGTTGAAGTTGAGTGCTTGCTTACAGTTTCCATTGTGCAGGTACAAACTGCGAAATATTGAGGAAACAGAGGCTGCAAAAAAGCTCTTACAGGAGAAGAAGCTTGTGGGTCGTGCGAAAGCAGAGTCCAGCCTTCCTTCAAGTTTTAGTGCTGACTTTTTTCAACGTGGCAAGGATTATGCTGAAAAACTCAGAAAAGGTAATTTTCTTTAAAATATGAATATAACGCTAGGATAGCCCTGAAACCAAATTTCTAGGTAGTACGTAGTTCATGTCGTGTTTGCTTCTTATATTAGATTATAAGCTTGATTGTTGTTAATGATCTTTTGCGATCATACAGTTTAATAGTCTGTGTTGATGAAGATAGGTGTTATTAGAAATTTTCACTGCTTATTAACATATCTTATATTATGTCCATCAATTTTGGTAGAATATGCGGTAGATGATGTCAGAACCTTGGGTGTGAATGAGCCACTCAGGAAAACATGAGTGAATCTGATTGCACTTTGTGTAACTTAAGTAATCAAGATAGGTGTTACTAGAAACTTGCACTGCATATCAACATATATTATGTCCATCAATTGTGATAGAATATTTCGTAGTCTCGTAGATGATGTTAGAAACCTTGGGTGTGAATGAGCCACTCAGGAAAACATGAGTGAATCTGATTGCACTTTGTGTAACTAAAGTAATCAAGTGCTGCCTTTTCTCTCTCGCCAAAGGCGCTTGAGAGGTGCCTTAGTTGATTGGGTTTTGCTTCTAATGACACAAGGACAATTCTTAGTCCTGTTACCTTGAGGGTTGTTTCGTTTTTTGGTATGCGCTACACTTTATTTACTGATGTAATAATGATTTTGATATTGGCACTATATTTTTCAGAACATCCACAACTTTACAAGGATAAGGGTGCAGATGATAATGGTGGGTTGGAATCTAGGCATCATGATTCGGTTGGAGATGGTCATGGTGCAAGTCGAAGGCAGGCTGCCACTGATGAGTTCATGCTGGAGCGATTCCGAAAACGAGAGAGACAGCGTCTTATTCGGAGATAGCTTCAAACTTCAATCTGACCTTTTTTATGATTTTAATTGAAGAAAAACATCTTTACTGTTGATTTAATTTTTTAATTTTGTTGCTTTTTGCTTCTCTGTGCTCAGCAGACAGCATAAATTGGTGGATGATTGTATGTCAGAATTTTTTATCTTGTTTAGTCAAGGTTTGTTTTAAAAAAAAAAAAATCACATAAAAATTATTTCATCTAATCTCATTTTTTAAATATAATTATATTCACATATTTAATAAATAAAATCAAATATTATCAATGCACGCTACGAAAACAGCCTCTTTGTATAATTACAAGGGTAAGGTCTGCGTACAATTGACTCTCAGACCCTAACCTGTTGGGAATATACTGGGTATGTTGTTGTTGTATAAAGTGTTAGCTTCACTCTACTTTTCCTGTTGAGCATTATTAAAAAGTTTTATAAATTTTATTAATTCAGATAAGCATGGTTTGGTTAGTAATAATTTTCAATTAATTTTTTTATTTCAAACATACCCCTTTTTTTTGTTTTGTCAACAAAATATTCATTAAGACAGAAACTCAAAATACAACAATGTCGAGCAATCAACGGATTGCCAAAATTCCATACCCTTAGTTTTCCAAATTTGCCAGTATTTTGTAAATTAGTATAATTGAGCAAGGAAATTGGAGCATTGATTACGTGTAATAGTTTTTAGGAGATGAATGTATGTGGAAGACTAATGCCCACGTAAACTAGGAGAGAACAATAGAGAAACGCAAGTAATGTAATACACACCAACAGGCCTCAAAACTCAAAAGCAGTCTTCCAGAGCTAGTCGCTCGGCTTCATGGTCAGTTGAAGTTTCTTATGGGCGAATAAGAACAAAAAATTCTAAGGAGAGAGAAGAAGTAGATGATGGTATCTGTGAAGGACGTGGTGAGAGTGGTCGATGGGTTATCTCTAGTGGCCAAGGAGGGCATCAGCCGCTCAAAGGGCGCTCCCCTGATCAAGATCGCTGTCCTCTCCGCCGCAGACATCGCCGGCATCACCAAAGGAAAGCTCCGTACTCTGGAAAAACCCCAGACTGATAGTAGCGGTGACGCTCATACAAATGCAGGCGGCAGCAGCATCGTCTACTTCACGGACGGTAAACCAGTGCCGGTCGTGCTGCCCCAAATCCCTAACCCCCCTGAATCAGAAACAAATCCATTAGGGCACTCGGTGGATCACAAACCAGTGCTCGATGTGCCATCCCGAATCCCTCCCACTTCTGAATCTCAAACAATTGACTCCGATAGAGACGATTCCCAGGCTTTGGTAGGTGCAATTGGTCCCCCGACTTCAAATGCTGTGAAACCCGAGAAGCAGAGGAAGCCCAGGGAGAGGCGAGTCCCTTCGACCCCCTTCTCTCGAGCCATAGGGTGAGCCGCTAGGTTAAAAAATTGCAACTGGCATTTATTTTTCACATTTATGGACCATGTTTTTGTTCGTGCAATTCCCTTGGCTCGAGATTTAGTTTTATCCTCTCAAGTATGATTGAAGGTTTGCCGGACTTGGAGCCGGTCTTGCTTGGGGGACTCTCCAGGAATCTGCTAAGCGGATCATGTTTGGTACACCTAGTGCAGAAAACAACCAACATGCCCTTTCCCCATACCTGTCTGAGAGAAATGCTGAACGTTTAGCTCTTGCTCTATGCAGAATGCGTGGAGCAGCTCTCAAACTGGGCCAAATGTTGAGTATCCAAGATGAATCTCTTGTACCTGCTCCCGTAAGTACATGATTATTCCTTTGGATTATGACTTTTGCGTCTGTTTACAAGCTTTTGAAATCAGTCGAAGTCGTTGTGGTGAAGATGATATTCTTAAAAAATTATCAGATGACTCATGCTATCTATGCTTCTAATTTAAAGATCCTTACATGTAAGCAAATTTACCAAGTCTAGCGACAATCAATTTTTCATTGCACAAGAGCAAGTTATGTGATGCACAATATTTGCCTCAATCCTGAAAATCCCTCCTACTTTTTTCTTTTTCTTAACCAATTCTTGGGTTTTCCACAAAAGTATTAAACATTGGATCTGTTTCTTATTAACTCTGCGAACTCCTATTCCTTTCCAGATCTTAGCAGCTTTGGACATTGTCCGTCAGGGAGCAGATCGGATGCCAAGGAATCAGCTCAATCAGGTGATGGATACTGAATTGGGTTCCACTTGGTCATCTAAGTTGATGAGTTTTGACTATGAGCCAATGGCTGCTGCAAGTATAGGACAGGTAATGAAAGTAAGGTTATGCTAATCATGCTCACTCACACCTTTGATCCTCCGAGTTCTGTTTTGAGCGTGCTTTTGACAATTGTCTCTCCTTCATGGTATAAAAGTTTGTCAAGATCCTGCCCATGTTCAACTGTTAAGTTCCATTTCTTGATTGCCTTAAATTCTCTTTTAGGTCCATCGTGCTGTCACAAAAGATGGTTTGGAGGTTGCAGTAAAAATTCAGTATCCTGGAGTTGCAGATAGCATTGAAAGTGACATTGAAAATGTTAAATTGCTATTAACTTACACAAATTTGCTACCAGAAAAAATGTATCTCGACAATGCAATGAAGGTAAACCTTTTGCATTCATGTATTTTCTTTAACTTTTGCTTCATGGTGTTTATTTTCTTAATGAGAAATTCCTATGTATATCTTTGTACATGTTACTTATGCTTTAAATATGGTATCAACCTTTGTCTGTTATAGTTTCTTGTTTACTTGGCTTTGTGGGTCCAATCCTACTTGTCGATCAATCAGCTTAGTTAAAGTTAAACTACTAAGTTGTCTGCTTATGTCATAGCTATGTTTTCCAGTGAGGAAAAAGCATTCGTCTTAATTTGTGTTATGATATAAAGCAGACGTATACATCACGTTCAGACGTTCTATTATCAGACTAAAACGGAACTCTTAACCATAGCTCTGACATCTAATAAGTTGCCAATTGACAGGATTTGATGGTTCATTTTGGCATTCAATCTTGTTAAGACTCCAGTAGCAGTATACTAGTAGGGCTGTTGGGTACATATGTCCATATGTCCTATATGGCTGCAGATTTGAACTATCTTTGTGCTTGTCTGATAAAATTCCATTGCAGGTTGCAAAAGAGGAACTTTCTCGCGAGTGTGACTATGAACTGGAGGCTAAAAACCAGAAAAAGTTCCGTAGTCTGCTGACCGATACAAATGGATTCTATGTTCCATTTGTGGTGGATGATTTATGTAGTAGAAGAGTGCTAACCACAGAACTAGTTCCTGGTAGGTGCTTCTTTTATCTCTTATTTTCTTTTTTCTTCAAGAATAAATGAAATCGTTTTGAAGTGATAGAAAACTTATACAATCCTCCACATTGTCTACTTTGTATTTCGATATTGAAAGAGGGAATAATCCCCCTATATATAATTGCCAAATACGTTGAGCCTAAGTGGCAGACTCGCACGCTCCGGAATCCTATGTGGAAAAAAACTATGCTTCGTAGCTAGGCTTGGATATAAACTAGTATCTTTTTATAAAATAATAATTAGGCTTGGACTGCCTTAAATATCTATATTATTCACATTGTGATTGATCTCTTCCTTCCTTCTTTTCTTATACAGTTAGTTACCATAAACTCTTTTACATTTCTTTTTCATACATTACCACAAATTACATTTCTTTTTCTTATATAATTCATACATCAATTATTATAAATGTATCTTCTTCTTATTTTTCAAATTTCATAACTTTTTTGTTTGTATTATGTTTTTTACATATGATATATCAAATTTATTTCTTTTAACGATCTTCGATTTGACATCCATATTACACATATAAAAAAAAATACAAATTATCTTATGAACCAATAGAAATTGATTTATATTAGCATATCATAAAATATTATTTAATTGAATATTATAAAATTTATGTCACAACTTAAACAAAAACTACGAAGAGATTGAATATTATAATGATATTAAGAATTTTAAAAAATGTTAACTATAATTAAAAATGATAATAATAATTATTATATTTCATAAAGTTTAAAAATATTACACCCATACACATTATATAAATGTTTATAAATATAATAGTTGAGGGAAGAAATTGTGTTTATAAAACATTAATCGAACTTGGAAAAAAATTATATTAATTCAAAATAAAATTAGTGAACTGTCGATAATACACACACAAACATGTATATATGTATATATATATATATATATGTGTGTGTGTGTGTGTATGTGTGTGTAATATAAAAATAATATCATTTTAGCAAATTGATTTTTTTAAAATATAGGTATTATTTTAAATAATTAATTTTGTTAATTTTTTTAATTTTTAGTTTTATACTTAATTTTTTATCATTATATTATAATAATATAAATTTCTTTACTTTAAAAGGCTATGTTGTTGTTATAAATTTCTTTACTTATTTCTTTTAATTCAAATATTTTATTTTTATTTTAATGCGCCCCTCTTGTTCACGGGCGTTATATTAACTGCATAATAAATTAATTATTCTACTTAATTTTGAAAAAAAAATGAATATATCTTAAATAAAATAAATAATATTTAATACAAAATAATTTCTTGAATTTTAAGTAATATTATAAATTCTTTTGCTTTATGATTAATAATTTATGATTTTTATTTCACAATAAGAATTTTATTTCTTTTTCTTTCTTTGTTGGACAATTAATGTTTTCCTCAAACACCCGTGTAGTTCACGGGCATTGTATTAGTATAGTATCTGTGAAGATTGGTCCCTTTTCCACGTTAAGTTGACACTTGTATCAGCTGAATGTGATTTACTTTGACTATGGTGATACTTTTCCTTTCCTCTTATTTCCTATGTCTTTTACCATTTGCAGGAGTTCCGATTGATAAGGTAGCATTACTAGACCAAAAGACACGCAATTACGTTGGGAAGAAGTTGCTTGAGCTCACTTTGATGGAGCTATTTATTTTCAGATTCATGCAGGCATGTTATCATGTTATGGCATCTCTTTATCCTTGTTTCTACTTACTCTTTCTGATGCTCTTCTCTTCTTTGTATTCTATATGTGTATCTGAAGCAGACTGATCCGAATTGGAGTAACTTTTTATACAATGAGGCGGAAAAGTCGATCAACCTTATAGACTTTGGAGCAGCTAGGGAGTACCCAAAACATTTTGTTGATGATTATTTAAGGATGGTGAGAGATGCATCTCTCTTGTGTGACTGTGATCAATTAATCTTTTTATCTTCATATTTTTATTATTGAAGCATGTGATGAGAGATTGAATGGAATTGAATCTCAGGTTGTTGCCTGTGCAAATAGCGACCGAGAAGCAGTGATTGAGATGTCAAGGAGACTTGGGTTTCTGACAGGAATGGAGTCCCAAGTAATGTTAGATGCTCATGTTCAAGCGGGTTTTATTGTTGGGCTGCCATTTTCCAAGAGCGGAGGATATGATTTTGGGTCGACCAATATCACTCAAAGCATTTCACACCTTGGGGCTACGATGCTGAGGCACAGGCTTACCCCCCCACCGGAGGAGGCATACAGCCTCCATCGCAAACTTTCCGGTGCTTTCCTTGCTTGCATCAAACTCCGGGCTGTGGTCCCTTGTAGGGATATTCTGCTTCAAGTTTATGACAAGTATCAGTTTGGTTGGTAGTGTTGGTGTCAATGCTGACTAAGTCTTCTAGGACTTGCGAATTGAATTTCATGACAGTGCCTGAATAAATTAATTAATCCACATGTATGATTCTGAGGGACTTTTTTTTTTTTTCCTGGCGGGAGATTATTTGGGACACATATTTTTAAATGCATCAAAGACTAGTATCAGTTTAACTTTGGTAGTGTTTATGAGAGACTTTATTCTTTTGTTGCAACAGATTATTTAGGATTTTTATTGGTGGTATTTATCATTTTTTTATAAACGTGACAGACAGCCATGCATGTGATACAACTCCAGGGCATGAACCGCCTTCAGAGTCCGCACGTCCTCAGTGAACCTTTCTCTCATACCTGTTTATATGTGATTATTCACCATATTTCTATAGTATCTAGAGTTTATTCAATGCATTATTGGTATATAAATTGCAATATTGTGTTTTGATTTTATATTTTGTTGGAAAAATATTGCACATGCTAGTTTTGTAGATAGTTTTACATTTTTGTTAGTCAGCAGCCCCCGCAAATGAGCTCATTTTGCGGTTTGAAATCTGCGTTCAACGTTATTGCAGCTGCAATCCATTGATCCCAACATGAATCGGTAAGAAATATGCATATACAACTGAAAACTCTATTTAATAATGAGATGAAAGAAAAAATGACTTAAATAGTGTTTACAACTGTACAGTAAAAAATTCAGAAAAAAAAATTCATAAATAATGGTTAAAAAAATTCAAACAATTTTTACTCAGTATATTACAACCTTTGACGATGAATATTTTAAAATGAAAGAAACACGACTAAAAGGGTATGTACTATCTCATATTCAATTCTATCACTCCTTGTGATTTAGGCTGAGCTACTTCTGGAATTACCAAGAGAACAGGTGCTGGAGTGGATTTTTCGTTGCTTAGCCGAACTCTATGTATCACTACCCGCGTTGATAAAATACTAATTTGAAGTGGAATGTAGTAGTTTGTCACGACAATTAGTGAACTTGCAGGCATCTAAGGATGGGAATCCATTGTAGATATGGCAAACCCTCACACACATACATAACAATATTTGATTATAACATAAAACATTATAGTGGATTGTGAACTTCCGTTTTGAGGTATGGCATCGTTTAACCAGATATACCTTTCTTAGGTTTCTGGTTTTTTTTTTTTTTGTTTTTTTGGTCCTTCTCTTCAGAGTTGAGTAAACAAAATGTCTGATTTTCTTTTTTGTTGTATAGAATCTCGTGGGGCATGTAATCCTGTTGCCATGAAGCATAAACGATCATTTCAGGAAGGGGCTCGACTGTGGTTGTGCTCGTTTCAAACAATTAAGTGCATATGAATGTCCAAGCAGGTAAAAATCTTAAGGCAGTAACTTGGCCACTGGCAAACATGTCATCCAAAAGTCACGGCTTTGGCATTTGCGTAGACTTGACTGGCAAACGAGTACTGTGAAATCTCCAAGGCATGGCAATAATTTGAAATGTTTTTGAGGTCAATCTACCGTCATTTTGAGTTGTGCCGTGGTGGATATTTTGCTCCTGTTTTTCTCAAAAGCTTATTATAAGTTAATATCTAGTTGTGTTATAATGAAACCGCATTTCATTATTTATATCTGTTTCATGGGATCATATGAACTAAAACAACAAAAAATAAAAATGGTAAAAAGGTAAAAAAATATAAATAATGATAAAAGAGCCCAAAAAAAACTTTCCTTCATCCATTACATCGCTATTTTATGTATAGTAACAAATTTGATAATAAAATTTGAGTTTTGTGATAAAAAATGAAACGACCAAAAATTGTGAATAATGGTACACGTGAAAATGCGAAAATTAAAATTCATAAATAATTATAAAATCGCCTTAAAAAACTATCTTTCACCACGTTAAACCATAATTTTTTAAAGTATATAACAAATTTAGATGGTACAAATTTGGTCCACAATTTTATGTATATAAGAAACTTTGATGGTACACAATTTAGTTTTAAGATGATAAATAAAGCGTCCAAAAAGCGTGAATTAGTACATGCGAATGAATTAGGGCATGTATAGTGATAAGAAGAAGTTTGTCTTAAAGTATAAAATTGGCGTGTATAGTGGTAAAAGGAAGTTTTTTGGGCACAATGAATTATGACAATGTTGACAATCCTGGCGAGCCATTAAATTCAGAGGGAAATAGATACTAATATGAAGTCAATTTAAAGTAGGATGAACTCGGTTTGAACTAGACGCAGAACCGACCTCGCCCATCCACGACGACCAACCGACGCGATCAACCGAGCTCAAAGGTGGTGACGAGGCGCCTACGCGACCAATTGAACAAACTGCCCTCCACACACGTCGTCATCATAACTTGTGGGCCCAACTACAGTACAAACCACCCCCATAAAGTCACTTTGCATTTCAAACGTACCAACCTTGAACATAGAGCCAATAAAAGTTACTATAAATAAGAGAATTAATTCCTGTACGAGGATTCAGTTTTCCGAAAAAAAGAAAATACATGTAAAATCTATTCTGTTCATACAAAAACGACTTCCTGTAATAGTTCAATCTTACGATAATCCCAAAGCTAAACACTTTATACCGTTTTACATCATTAATTACAAATTATTATCGTTGTTAATTATCGCATAACAATAGTTTGGCGTTAGAAGGAAGGGCTCCATAAGTTGTTTGGAACTAATCTTCGATTCCATACACAAGAGTCACATAAGTTCTCAGTATTTGTGTTCGTGTTCATCATCCAGACGAAAATCATGTCCCAATCAGGATAACAAGATCAAACGTCAAGGGCTGGTCACAACCGGGGTGCCGTCCCATCTGCCGGAAGAACCAACGTGATACCGGCGATACTGGACTTCGCTGCTCTGTTTCAAAATCCAAAGTTTGTGAATGGTTTCCGTAACGCACCATTCGAATTATATGTTTATGTATCTATTATATTATTTTTGTCTTTAATTGTTATTACTTGCTTTTATTTATGTAATTGTTTGCCTTAAATTATTACTACTTGTTGTATTTATTTATTCGCTTACCTTTATGTAATTGTTAGGCTGCCTTTAATTAATTTTGTGCCGTCATTATTTATATATGATTGTATTTATTTTATTATTTATTTATTCGTTAAACGAAAATCGTACATTTTCCATCTCAAGTTCAACGCCTCTCGACCCACTTTATTTAGCTAAAGTTTGTTCTTTTTTTAACTTTATTACTTTTTAGCCCTTTCTAGTTATTATATTTTTCTATATATCTTTAGGGTGCGTTTGGTTGTCCATATTGGGCTTGATATCCTGCAACATAATATTATATCAACAAGTTTAAGTTGTTTGGTTGAGAATAAAAAAGCCTATGATATGGCCCAGGCCCGCTATTTTTTTCACACTTTTCGATATTACGTATCCCAACTCTAGTGTGGAATGCCTTATTATTCCATTTAAGTAGACTGGCTAAATGTCCTATTTGCATTCTTAGAGAGAAAAAAAGTTAATTCTCTGTCATTCCTCAATGTCTTTCGATGCAAAGCATCAACATAGATTCGATCCAAAGTATCAAAAGAGAAAGAAAGATAAGGTTATGGAGAAAACAAATTATTTAGCATAGGGTTTCGCAGATCTTGCTGTCATCTCCCTCATCCAATAATTCATCAATCACGACGAGGGCGGTCTAACACCCGATGCTTGATTCCTGGGCACCCGACCCCACTGCGTGCCGATTCCCCAAAATCACCGGCGGGTCGTCACTGGAATCAACCTCTTGGGTCAGAACCTCACCGGCCCAATCCCCTTAAAACCCATATGAGAGCTCAATTCGCTTGAGAAGCTCGCCCTAGGAAGAACAAGCTCAGTGGCCGCATCGTGGAGGATCTGAATTTCTCCTTCCTCAAGAACTTGGATTTGGGCAACAATTTATTCTCCGTCCCTATTCCAGTGGATTTGGGCAACAATTTATGACTTTATTCCTCAAGTACTTGGATTTATCCGCTATGAACAGGCCCGTCCAATTTATTGTTGTATTGAGCTTTTTTTAAAAAAAAAAAAATGGTATAGTGCAGATAGGCATTACCTCTTTGGATTAATTGAGTTGCAAATTATATCTAAGTCGTTTGTATGATTATTTGTTGAAGAATATGGGGTCAATTGGGGAAAATATATTTTATTTCGTTCATTTATATTTTGAACCAAATAAAAGAATAATTTCATGAGCTTGATGAAAACTAATGTAGATTATTAACCAAACAAGGCTATAAAGGTGATACAATCAACTGGAATCTCACTTAAGCCCGAATGTGATATAATCATGCACAATACCAAATTTCAACCAAACAGATCCTTAGTGTATAAACCGGCCCATACTTATTGATTTTTTGGCCCAACAACAGCCCAAGTAACCCTTTTTGGCCAAACCCTAATTTTCTCCCCTCTATTAAAGCCGAGAGCGAGAGAGAGCGCCGCAATTTCATTTCTTCTTCCCGTTCCAGAACTCTGCAAATCGCCCCTCATCTCCTTCCTCCTCAAAATTCCCGTCGTCTCTCTCCCTTCTCGGCAGAAACGAGCAGCAACAGCGAGCCTCATCCTTCCTACGTCGCATCCCAACAACAATTCCGGCGACCTGAAGCTTCAGCTCTTCCGGCGAGATGAGCGCGCGACTGAAACGACCTTGTGCTGCTGAGCGATTCCGACGACGCCTCCTCAAGCAACCGAGAACCCTGCCGTCCCTGACGACGAGCGGCAGCCGCGTATGCCACGCCGGCGACGCCGTTGGAGACCAGCGAAGTGGGGCTGCTGCCACGTTCGCCTGACGCCGAGGGAAGCCAATTTCTGTCGGGAGACGCGCAAACCGCTCGCGAGCCGTCCAGGGGGAGCCGCCGTCGTGAACAGCCGCGCCCCGGCAGTCAACCATTGCCGTCGAACCACCAGCGAACCCCGACCACGTCCGACCAGACCAATTAACCTCTGTTCGCGTGAGCAGCCCGCTGACTTCCGCCCGGTCACGCCGTTCAGCCGCCACGAACCGCCGGACAGAGGGACCATCGAGAGCCGCGGCGGGATGAGTCGTTTTTTGAGGTATTTAATGCGAACGAGCAGTGACTGGGTGTTTGACTAGCCGCCGTTTGGACAGTGCCCGGGCTGAGGGCCTTTTTCTGGTGATTTGAGCACCATCCGAGAGTGGGCTTTTCGTGGCCGAGCTGGCTGCAGCGAACCTGGCCTGTTTTTCACAGAAACGAGAGGTAAATTGGCTGAACCTCATGGCTTTCTCTTGGCCGAGTTTGTATGTTGAATATACCCATTGTTGCTGCCCTTTATAGACTGGGCTTAATGTGTTATTATCTTGCTGAAAATGACGTGTTTTTACAGCTTAAATCTTGGTTTATAAACCCTTAGCATGTATGAATGTTATTGAGAGAAATAGATGAGTGAAGTGCTTATTTTGGCCTCATGTTAGTTGTTTTTGTTATGACCTTGCTGTGGCCTTTTGCATGTTTATATTGCTGAAAGGTGACTAAGTTTCAGAGGTTTAACCTCAGTTCATATGGTTCTTCATGTGTGCAATGAGAATGATGAAAAGATGGAAAAGAAAAATTATATGTACATATATGTTCATGTGTTTGTACCATAAATCTCTGTAGCTTATTTATGCATTTTATGCTGTGTTATATGCTGTCAAAATGCTTTAATTTCATAGTTTAAATGCTCAGTTTTAGGGCCTCTAAAATATGTGTGTTTAACTTGAGCCAGGTAAATTGTCTCCGGTTCAGAACGAGATGTTGAGAGAAAGCGGAGAGATGGTCTCCGGTTCAGGGATCTACGCTAAAAGAGTGTTTGTGGATGCGATTCACCACAGGCTTGGCCGCTTGGCTTCCATTTTGGCTAAAGAGCTCTTGAACGGCCAGGAGGTTGTGGTTGTCCGATGTGATAAACGACCTGGTGCTCTTATTTTCAGAAGATGAAGTACTTGAGGTTCCTTCGCAAGCGAATGAATACCAAGCCTTCTCATGGCCCCATTCACTTCCATACCCCTTCAAAGATCTTGTGGAGAATTGTTCTTGGGTATGATTTCCTCATTTTTTTTATTTTTTATTTTGGTTTCTTTCTTTAATGTCGTTACTGAAATGAAATGGATGATGATGCCATGTATTTTTTTGGCTTATGCATTTGGTTGTTGGTTCTGAACACGCAAAATCACATAAATATAAGCATACACAACCTTTGTTCTGATTATGAAACTAAACTTCTGAGGTTTGCATCTCTGTTTTTGCTTTTTAATGATTAAAATTTTTTTATGTTCTTTTTTTCATTTAAGGCTGAACTAATAGAGATAAGAATCAGAGTTATTTACAGAGGCCTTTTAATTAGTGTCATTTGCTTATTCATTTCTTCTACTAATTGAAGTGGTGAAACTTGTTATACTTGCTTAACATATTATATATATTTGTTAGAATGATCCCTCACAAGACTAAGCGCGGAGAAGCTGCTCTTGCACGGTTGAAGGTGTTGAGGATTCAGGTTGGGCACAAATATTGCCTGTTGGGCAAACTCTCATCAGAAGTCGGATGGAACAATTATGAAATTATCAGGGTAACTTCATCTTTTCATCTACTTCTCTTACATATGTAATAACATGTTTTATAGGAATTTGTCCAGATGAGATACAGAAATTGGTGTTTCTAATTCTTGGTCACTGTTTGGAATGTACTTAGCAATGTCACAATATGTTTGCATTTGAATATTCTTTTACTGGCTATGTCATTCTTGTTGTTATTTGTATGAACATGTGTGATCTTTAAGATGCATTTGTTGTTATATAATATTTATGATATACATTAGAGTGGAGTCCTCATAAGAAAGATCGACATCAGTTCACGGCCCCCTGGCCCGATTCAAAATTCTTGCTCGAACCGGTGGCTAGTCGGTTCGCCTTCGCTGGAGCTGGAGCCCCGATGGGTGTGCAACCCTATTTCGTTGTACATCGTTGAGGCTAAATATCGATCAGGTTTCAACGATTGCGCAGATCACAAGTGAAAAAAGAAGACAAGAGAGAAGAGAGAGAAAAAAAAGAGAGATAAGGAGAAAGAGGTGTGATTTGGGGGAGAAAAACTGATAAGTTTCTTTAAAAATATGTAATTAGTTATTACATTGTTTTCTGGTATATCTACAAATAAAAACATGATTTTAGGTAGGATTGGTGATATTTATAATAGATATTTAGCTGTGCAATAAAACTGAAATTTATGGTGTAGTGAGTAATTTTCTCAATCTTAAAAGGAAGCATTAAATCTCGAAATGCTATGCTAAAGTACTATTTAATTTTATTTTAAGTGAACTATGTGTTGGACTCAAAAGATAATGGGCTAAGAGATGAACAACTATAATTTTGGGACATTTTCATCTATCCTACAAGATTTTAAAAATATTGCAAAAACACAATTCATAAACAAATAATTACATTTCTACCTAATATGTAATAAATAACTACATTAATGCCTAAAGTAAGTTACCATATCCATTCAACTTCCATCCCCCTTTTTGTGGGCTTGATTAAGAGAGAGAAATAAAAAATAATAACTGACTCATTTAATTCCTTAATTCACGCAGTTTGTACATTTGTAATTCACGCAGCCGTCAGGTGGTATATTTTGCGTTTATGTTGGTATATATTCAGTATATGTTACAATGAAGAACATGTCGTCCATCAAAAAATTATGTCTTCTTTATTTTTTTTTTCTTTTTTTTTATTTTTTTTACTTTTAGACATAAAAGTATATATAAACATATTATAGCAGTTACTTATATTCCATATACAAACAAATATACTGCAAATATACTGTACATATGCCCGTCGAACGTCTTCCTGTTAATGTTATGCGAAAATATACCGAGAATATACTGATAATATACCGTCGAACGTCTTCCTGTTAATGCCATGAGAAAATATACCGAAAAGATATTGATAATATATCGAAAATTTTTAACTTTTATATACTATCGAACGTCTTCCTATTAATGTCATGAGAAAAAATACTGAAAATATACCGAGTATAAACCATACATATAAAAAAAAAAATCATCAGTTTATGCTTTGTCAATATAAACCATACATACAAATAAGGTAGCCCTTATATTATACAGAACATATACCCTATATATACATAAAAATTATGTCTCGCGATAAATTTTTTTATCATATACCGAAAATATACTGAATATAAACCATACATACAAAAAAAAATCAAATTTATGCTGTCAAAATCGTTTTCTAATACATGACATATACTGAACAGTGTATAAAAATCTTCTAATATATTGGACATATACTCCCGTGAACATATACTGTACATATACCGTCGATATACTGCACATATACTACAATCCAAAGTCTGAATTTCAACGTAATCCTAAAAAATTGAAACAAAATTCAATTTTCCTGCATCAATGGTTCGCCCACAATTTTGTTGGTGGCGGGCTCGGCCCCAAACCCTTGCGAAAAGGCCGTCGAAGACCATTACCTTCTGAAATTCCTCAAGAACAAGATCGATTACCGCAGGATCCACGGGATCGAAATCGTGTACAACATGGCTAATCTGGATAAAGAAATGGCCGGATATTGGGCAAAACTCCCTCTAATCAGGCGTCTAATGTTATCCCATCCTGAATTCGAGTGGGTCTGGTGGATAGACAGTGATGCCCTTTTCACAGCCTTCACCTTCGAGATATGAAATACAAGGATCACAGTATATCCTTGTTCTTTGCAGAGAAGAATAATTTCACAATGAACAAAAAAAATTTGCAGAGAACAATTCCACAGTATATCCTTGTTCTTTGCAGAGAAGAATAATTTCACAATGAACAAAAAAAATTTGCAGAGAACAATTCCACTCACGGGAATTAATTCTACTCCCCAAAAGGATACCCACTCACGAAAATTAATTACACTTGACAAATTAATTCCACTCACCAAAATAAATCTACTCACGAAATTTGAAAAAAGGAAAATAGGTCAACTTTTGAAATAATTCCATGAAATCCACTAACCTTTTACCCAAATTTTTACGAGGAATCAGCCAAACAAAAACGAAATCAACACCAGAATTCACAAGAACAAAGGAAGCGCGAGGGATGGGAGATGATCGGAGGACGTTCTCGTCCGCGAGGCAACGGTGCTTGAGCGAGGCGGAGGTAGATGCGGCGGCGCGAGGAATGGGGCTGGCTTGGGCGGTTTGTTTCTATAGTGAGAGTTTTAATTTTGTTTGTCTCTAAAGGAGATCCTTAATTTCAATTAAAGATTTGATTAGCATTTAATATGTATAAAAAAAGGAAATAACGTTAATCTCAATATCAGGTAAAATTAAAAATATTTTGGCTTGGTTAGGCAATTTTATAAATAAAAATATAAGGGACATATAAGTGTAATAAAAATCATAATTGATTGTAAGGGTGTAAATTCCTCTATAATTTTCTCAACAACTAATCCGACTAAGAAGCCCAATATTGGAAGCCCAACATTAAACTAGGGCTTATTCCGTCTCTCTCCTATATATGCTCTCAGTCCGCCCCGTCTCTTTGTCTCTCGCACACTCTACGCCCACCGGAGCCAAAACCCTAGATGAAATCCTGTACAGTTTAATCAGCGGCGGCCGCGGCCGCAGAATTGGCGAGTCATCTAGACCTTCGCTCGTCCAGGCCTTCCACTCGTCTCCACTCTGGCGTCTCCATCGCGAGTCCACCAACCACCTGATGTGGGCAGCAACTCCTTTTCGACCGCAACGACCGCAACTCGCTTTCGATGCAACTGGTAAGATCCCTTTAATCTGCTTGCTTTACAACTCGCTTCCAATTTTGAAACCCGAATACTATAATCATTGATGCTTTTCGGGCTCAATTCCAAGATCGACATCAGTTCAGGCATACTTTTTCTGTTAGCGAAGGCTAACTAGTATTTATCGGTTTATTGGCCTGGCTGTTACAGAGTGTTTCGGCTCTGTTTTTTCCCAATCTTATTGTTGTTATTTTTGTTCTGAAATTTTTATTTCTTTTTTTTTCTTCCATAGATGGTGGTGGGTTTCTCGGCTACATGGTGTGGACTGTGCAGGATGATGGAACCGTTCTTCAATGGCGAAAAACTGAAGGCGATTATCTCCTATGACACCATGGTTCCCCGATGGCTTGTAGATCAAGGTGAAGGCTCCCAGGGACAAGCTTACGCTTAACTTCAAGCATCTGAACCTCGATTTCCGGCTCATCACAGACGAGGCCACCGGAGAAAAGAAGCTGAATATGGACATGTGGTTTAGCAGCCGGCCATGTCACTGCATCACTCAGGGTTTGAGATGTGTAACTTCCTTGGGGAGAAGAGGGTATGAGGAATTTATTGCAATTCTTTATGTTCTGTGCATTTTAACTTGTAGAATACTTTACCTGATGTTGTGTGGTAGGTATTATTGTCTGTTTGTTTCGGGATGTTCAATTAAAATTCTTATATTATGATGTGTTGCATTTTCACTGCTTATCATATTTTGTGCTCAAATTTTTCTGAAAAATGTCTATCTTGCAGTGGTAATGTCTGTATACCAATTATTTGTTAGTCTATTGTGCATATTAAATATTGTTAGCAAATTGAAATATTAGGTACTTTGAGTGGTAGTAAAGAATTCCATGTCCTGTATCGGTTTTTCTCAAAAGTACATAAGTTTGTATGAAAATTATTGTTCTTATGGGTTGGATACATTTCCATGGTATAGTTACGATTCAACTTATTCTTGTAATATCTCGACAGGGTCAGCGGCTAGATGTGTATCTTTTAAGACCATGACGGGCCTGAACGGCTTTAAGAAGTCAAGTGGCTATAATATTGTGAAATCTTCAGTTTTGCTTGTCAATTCGTAATTTCGACAGTCTTTGAATCATATCAAAATCAGGTTCTGAAGTTGCTGAACAAGGTATCTTTTTTAATCATTTTATCAATGGTCGTAGAGTATTGTGTTTTAAATTATGAAATTTTTATTCAGCTTGCTGTCTCTTTGATTAAAATTGCAGTGACTGTAGTTTATTGTGCTTCTTCTTCCTTGCATTTTTCTCTGGGGGGGTCATTGGGCTTTACACGTATGTTTATCTAGGCAATAAACTGCACACTTGAAACTCAGAATTTGTCAAATTATTTTCCTTAAGTTCATATTTTGGAGTATTATTTAACACGCACAATTCATGAAATAAAAAAGTCTACAGTTGTGTTTTTCAATATTTTTTTTGGCCGGGTATATTTTTTGTTGTGCACTTTTTTGTGAAAGGCCACAAAGGTAAAATATAATTTCTAAAATTTTATTCACAAGTTAATATTTGGAACACCGAATTGACTTCATTTCTTAGAAATTCTTTCACTGGCGGGTATCTAAATTGTGCACTTGTTTTTTTGAGTCACTTTAGAACATATCCGACTGTGTTCACAAATTCAAATTATTATTCTTGTCAATTTATTTTATCTGGTCCTAGTGTGTTATAATGCTGACATGTTGTGATTCTTTGTTTAACCCAATTAGCTTCCATTATGATATACCATGATATTCATTTTTAAATACATCTTTCATTTAAATTCTTCTTGTTTGCAAACTGTAACCCTGGTGCTTTCATGCAGTACTGTCTTGTTATTAAGGGAATTAAACACGTGAACCGAGGTCCGAAGCAAGTAACAATTCATCCGAAGTTCTATGTTAGAGTCATACAACTAGGACGACGTTCTCAAAATGCATAAAATATGATGGTGTTTGGTCGAGTACACCGACAGGAACATGAAATTAAATGCTGTTTAG